GAAACACTAAGCAGTTTGAACAAGGAATAATAGGACACAACCATAGATTTAGAACATGATACAACTATGCAATGTCATAGTAAGTGAGAGACCTGAGTCTAACTGTAAATGATAATCTGGATGGTCTTTTAAGGGACCCAAACAGTCACATGTTTGATGTAGTAAGCTGATGGGTAAGCGATCTGCTTACACCCTCCCATCCTCCAAAAAACTTTGATCAGTGTTGAACTCTTTGAGCGCCTCTGTGTCCTCCACCTCTTTTCCGGATAGCCACATATCGGCATCTTGATCATAATCTTTCCATCGTACCAGGTATTGGTACCCTTTTCCTTGCTTCTTTTGGTCCAAGATGTGGTTGATTTCCCAGTCATCTGTTCCAGTCTCCGTCAAGATTGGCCAAGGTTTTTGTTGTTCTCGTGACGGGAATAGTCCTGTGTTTCTTCAGTTGTAAGGAGTGGAAGGTGGGGTGTATGTTGGTGTGTGGGGGTAAGTTGAGCATGTATGTGGAGGATTTAGGGCATGCTGAGATGATCCTATAAGGCCCGTTGAAGTGGGGCATGAACTTCCTGACTTGTTTGTTGCTACCATTGAGGTACTCTTTCTGCTGATGTGCTGTGGATAAGTATATGAGGTCATTGACTTCTAGCTTAGGTTCTTCGCCTCGCTTGGCATTCACTGAGGCTGCTTGTGCGATCTTGGAGGTGACAAGGGCATTGTGAGTGTCCACGATATCTGTTTTCAGTGCCATTATGGCTTCCAGTGTGTTGGCTACGTCTGTGGGGAAGTCAGCTCATACGTCTTGCACCCCCTTTGGTGTCAGCAGAGGCAGGAGACGTGGAGTTCTTCCTAGATGCAAATGCAAGTGTGAGTACCCTGTAGATGCATTGACACTGGACACGAGATTGAATCGTACACATGGTAGTGTGTTTACCCAGCCCAATTGTCTTTGATCCATGAAGTACCTCAGGGCTTGATTTATGCTCTTGTTTGTGTGTTCGCTTGAGCCATCTGTCTATGGATGATAAGCAGTTGACAACTTTAGTCGGATACCTGTTAGTTGGTATAAAGCCTTCCAAAACTTGCTTGTGAAGAGTTTGTCCCGGTCCGAGATGATGTTAAGTGGCATTCCATTTTTGCAGTACCAGTTGTTGAAGAAAAGTCCAGTGATGTCTCGTGCATTCATGTTCATCTGACAGGGCACCAGACGGATGTCTGCTCCTAGATGGTCTGTCATTGTCATGATGCCATCAAACCCTTGTTTGGTCAGCAAAGGACTGATGAAGTCGATAGCGACTGATTCTCCCTGGTTATCAGGTGTTGGAAGTGGATGCAGTGGACTGGTTGGTTTCATTGTCTTGCTCTTGTTTCATGCGCAGTCCAGGCATGAAGGTATGTAGCTGTCTTCGAGGTTGCATCTCATGGTTGGCCAGTAGAACACGCTTCATATTGCTGCATAGGATTTGTTGGCCCCGAAGTGGCTGAGATCATTGTGGGCTAGTCGAAAAATCACTTCACGCAGGTGAGCTGCTCAAGGGATGACTAGTCGGTCATTGATGTATAGCAGTTTGTCCCATTTCTGAAGCCCCGGCAGTGAGCCACCCATCTGCAATAGTTTGCAGCACCATGGGTTGTTTGTATATCCTTTCTTGATGTCATTTAACAGGGATGTGTCTGGTGTGATAGAAAGGATCAGCGCAATGGGGGTTATAGTTTCATTGGCATTAGGTGGTAGCCAGGAGAGGGTGTCTGCAATGACGTTTTCCTCCCCTGGTATGTATTGAATCTTGAAGTTGTACTGTGTGAAGAACTCTTGCCATCTGGCCTGTTGGCATGACAGTTTGTGCTGTGTCATGAAGCTTTTGAGTGTTCAGTGGTTGGTGTACACTGTGAACGGTGTACCGAGTAGCTCCATGCGCCACTTTTTAAGTGCACGTACGATTGACAGCAGTTCCTTCTCGTGAACGGGGTAGTTGAGCTGAGCATCCTGAAGTTACATCGAATCAAACACAATGGGGCGTGCAGTCTCTGCTGTCAGTCTAAAGCTCAACATTCCACCAGTTCTCCAGTTGCTCGCGTTGCACGTAACATAGACTTTGTTGTTTTTGAGGTTGTCATGGTCTATTGTTGTGAGACAATCGTGACTTACCACCAAGCGTTTTATTTCATTGAATGCTGTCTGGTGTGTTTTCGTCTAACCAGGCCAATGTGTGTCTGAAACCTTAGTAGTCAAAGGCGTCAGTATATGGGTGTGGTCTGTGAGTTTAGGCAGGAATTGCTCGAGGTAGTGGACAAGACCTAAGTAAGACCAAATATCGCTTGCCGATTTCAGAACTGGCCAGTCCAAGATCCATTTGGCTTTCAAAGTGTCCGCTTTGATACCATTGGCAGATATGTGGTGGCCGAGGAAGTCTACCTCATTGCAGAACAGGGCAGTTTTCTTGGGTGAGCAGAAAAGGCAGGCTTTATGGAGTGTGTCGAGTATGAGTCTAATGTTTTTGACATGTTCAGCGATGTTTTGAGACCAAATCATGATATCGTCTAAGTATGCGTGGCATATTTTGCAGATGAGGGGTTGCAGTGCCATGATCATCCTTCTTTGATGTGTAAAAAAGTGTTTCTTCCACCCTGTGGCATAACTGTCCACTCGTGGAGACCCTTTGGAGTGTCAATGGCAGTGTACTTTATGTCGTCAGGATGCACTCTCGTTTGAAAAAAAGAGTTAGTCATGTCTATTTTCCCGAAAATTTTTCCTTTGTCACAATTGCACAGGATTTCATCCACCCACAGCAGTGGGTGGTTATCTGGTATTGTGTTAGCATTGAGTGCCCAGTAATCATTTACCCATCTGGGTAAAGCTGTTAGGTCCTTTTTTGGAATGAGAAAGGTGGGTGATACAAATTCACTTGACAATGGGTGTAAGCATCCAGCTGCAACATGTTGATCCAGTAGTTGTTCCCATGCCTCTCTATACTTACGAGGTGTTTTGTAGCAGTGACAATGAATTACCTTATCCAGGTCTTTCAGGCGGATATGGTACAAAACTTCAGTAGGAAGTTGGTCAATATGCAGGATGTTGTCTGGGAACCTGTCTTCATATTTCTTCTGCATTTCAGCATCCAAGTGGTCAAGCTGTGCCATGTGCTTTTCTATAAACACCAGAGTCTCAATACATTGTCACAGTACAGTTGTGACATGTGGAGTCAATGTGCTCATATGATTGTTGTTGTTGTCATGACACACCATCAGTACCTTTTTCAGTTTGTTGTAGAGACTCATGCCTCTCATGGTGTGATATGGCAGCTTTCCCTAGGGAGTACATGGTACGAACTTGTAGCACCACTCTGTGTGCTATCTGCAGCTATTCCTATATGAGGCTCAGCTTTCCCGTGCAACACGCGCCATGCGCACACTCTTCCCGTGTTTCGCGATGTATATGCACGCATGCTTTCCCACACTTGAATGCCCTATAGTGCCAGCCATCCAGATGCATCCATCCACTGTCCACCAAGCTCTCTAGTGCGTATATTTCCATTTGCCCTTATTTGCATATCATTCCACCTTTATTTTTATCATGGACCCTTACTTACATATATCTTTACATACCTTACTCGGTAGCGCTTCGGCTCCGCATGACAGTGCTTAAGCGCCCTATATAAGCGCCAGCAGTAGATACTATTAGGGGGCACTTTACTTAACTTTCCACCCACTATCTACCTACCAGAACATAGTAGAAATCTATTTGTTTACACCTCACATCTCCCTTCTCTTGTCTTGCATCTAATCATCACTTAAGCAAACTCACTCTTACACTCTCTCATTTCCGCATACACACATGTGCTTTCCCACGCTTCGCGCAGCACACACGTATGTTCCCACACCTTTGTGCCTTGCGTGCACCTGCACTTTCTCGCGCTTTGCATCGGCCAACCAGTAGCGCCTTCAGCGCATACCTCAAGATCCTTGCTGCACTTGCTTCCCCTTTAGGGTCGAACGCACTTGTTGTCTCAAGTATAGCAGACTAGGCAATGCACAACCTTACAACATTTATAGATACAGTCAGGAGCCTCATTTGCACCTCGCTGTGTTGTAGTTTCTACATTGTGAATGACATTCTTGTGCAATCAAGAGACTTCTCGAGGCATAGGGATATGTACAGGAATATGTTTTATAATAGTCAGGGGATTAAGAAGATTGTAATTCAATGTGTTGCTGATGCAAGTGCACAGTTTGTGATCTATGAGGAGGCAATTATGTGATAAGAATGGCCCCCCAAGGAGCAGGGGCACAATGGGATTTGGTGCAATAATTGTGTGTACAGTATGAGAAACCCAATCATGATTCAAAGATGTGGGAGAAATGAGAACATATTCAGAAAAAGTCAAAGAAGAATTGGAAGGTGTTAAGAAAGCTGAGTTCACATGAATCTCAGAGTGCAGTTTGTGTCTTCATAGACCAAGCTTGTTCACGATGTCCTCATTAATAAGAACTAGATGTGAACCATGGTCAATCAACATGTCTATGCATTCAAAGGAGGAGGAAGAAGGCCCTGTCAATCAACAGGGCCACATGATGTGGGCAGTTTCAAAAGGGGCTACACAAGTATCATCATCCAAGTCTGACAACTCCTCAAAAACAGACAAAGGCATCACCACCATGACAGGTACAATAGCAGTGACAGGTGCGGACCTAGTAGGCTTTTCACTCTTTGCTTTGGCTGTGGCGGCATCAGCTTCTGTAATTGCCTTATAGGACAATGCCTCTGGCATGCTGTTTGGGTAGTCCTTCAATCTGTGGGAGACATAGAAGTGTCAACACTTGAAACATCCTTTGTTATCCGCGAGTAATGTTCGCTCTGCCACTGTCAGTGGACCTAGGCGAGAGCTGTAGTTACTGTTGGAAGGCAAGTTTGTTGTGGTTCTTGTAGATGTATGCTGTTGGTTTGCACATCTGGATTTATAGACATCTTCTGCAAGTCTTCTGTGCATTGCGAGATCTTCAAGTCATTTCTCATCAAGGTGGTGGACTTCTTCAATCCAGTTCTTGAGCGTGAGAGTTGATGCAAGTTTCACTCTGAGAACTAATGTCATCAGGTCATCACATATGTTGGCCTCCAACTGATTCTGCAGTTGGGCATCCGTCAGGTGTGTGGTGTTTCCATACAAGAGGGTGGTTTGGTTCTGAAGTTCCAAAGCCCATCCATAGAAGGCGCGTGAACCTTGTTGTGATCCTAGTACCTTCTTCCATAGTTTTGTATCCCAATGTGTTTCGAGCCAAGTGTCCTTTAGTGCCATGACATATTCTAGAAATGTGCCCACATCTAATGTCACTCACTGTGTGAGGTACCATGTGTGGAGCTGTGGGTCCATCACTCCAAAAGCCATCATTTTACTTGGTTCTTAGGTTCTATTTCTTTGTACATAAAGTAAGTTGCACATGTGTTTTCCCAATTGTGTGTGACCTCTGGAGTGAGCTCGCCTGGAAGCAGCTTCAGTGGCTTGCTAGGCGCAGACTGTTCCACTATGGCAGGTTTAATCATGTCGCGAATGGGGGACAGTGTGTATAAATGATTTCTGGTTCTGAGTCTGAGGAGGAATCATAATAGTTGGTGTTTCTGCGAGTGTTATTCACGAGTGATGCACTACTTGATGGTAGTGGTATAAGAGAGGATGATGATGAGATCCGGGGGGTGAAGCGGGTGACAGGGTTGGGGGAGGCGGTTGGACTCTCTTTGCGTGTGAGCGTATGATGAGAGATTGATCTATAGTCAGTTCCATTTGTTTAGAAGGCAGTTTAATGGGTTATAACACAGGCTGGAAGTCTGGCAGTTTGATTAAGAATAGGAGTCACTGGTTTATGTCAATGTGTAAGCAGATCACTTACCCATCAGCTTACTACATCAAACATGTGACTGTTTGGGTCCCTTAAAAGACCATCCAGATCATCATTTACAGTTAGACTCGGGTCTCTCACTTACTATGACACTGCATAGTTGTATCATGTTCTAAATCCACAGTTTTGTCCTATTATTCCTTGTTCGAACCGCTTAGTGTTTCCTGCTGCCACCATGGCAGGTTTCCATTTTTTTTAAATATCTTTTTAGAGTCATTACTATTACATCTATCTTCATTATCATCTCCAGATACATTTTTTTGTGTTTTTTTTTTCATGGCTAAGTGATCTGCTTACACCCTCCCATCCTCCAAAAAACTTTGATTGGTGTTGAACTCTTCGAGCGCCTCTGTGTCGTTTTTTATTTTATTTTATTGTATTTTTTATTTTTCTTTCTTTTCTTTCTTTGTCTTTCTTTTTTTCTGTAGAAAGAAAACAAAAAGAGGAAAAAAAACAAAAGCTAACAAAAAAAACTAGAAAAAAAGCATTTCCAATGCTGATATATTCATTCGCAGTGATAACAAAGGTGCCATTGGTGCCTTCATAAAGGCTGTTGTTCAAACCTTGCCTCCAACACATGCATCAAATGCATCAAAGCCATGCTTCACATGGCGGATCTCTCTATATCACTCATATATGTTCACACTAGCGTCAACCTTGCAGACCCCATCTCTCAAGGTATCCTACCTGAACTCTCTTCACATCTACCGTTCTGCATTCCCATTCCTAAAGAACTCTCACCCTTCATTGAGTATGGAACCCACTCCCAACTCTGAACTGGAACTCATCTTTGACATTCCAGATAATCATCATCGTCTAGACTCTGTCGAAATCCACGAAGCAACTGTCATGCACACGGATGGACAAGTATGAATTCCATGTAAACCCCGCAAAGACACTTCTATTACTCCCTCCACACATTGTCCTCATGTCCTTGCTAGTAAACAGGTCTTTCTTTGGACCACTCCACATGATTTTGATCACCAACACGAGTTAGAACAACTCTTTCCTGAGTCTGACATTCTCAAAATGTTCTTCATACTTATCCAATCCCTCAACAAGAACACTCAAAATTGCTCCTTGGACCCTTACCAAGTGGCACCCCAACTAGGACCCTGAAAAATCCTTATCAACAGCGCGCTCAACAGTGTCAATCTCACCTCAAGGCGACCCTCGCCATAACCAGGCAACAGAGCTACCACTTTAATACCCCCAAACCAATTCATAACCAATCAACAGCCAGCTTGTAACCCAGGATGCCAGTGGGCAGAAGAAGCACCAGTGCCAGTGCAAGTTCAACACCTGCCTCACGCACCTCTTCACCCACTTACGGCCTCAACACCTGCAAGACTACGAGGTCAACACTATCCCAGACAGCTATTGAAACAATGTCCAACACAGTAAAAGACGCTAGCAGCAGAAATAAATTTCTAGAGTTGAAACTGCTCTGTCTCATTAATAAACTGCTTACACTAACCCACTTAATCTCAATCCTCTTCCAGATCACACAAATGTCGAGCTCTGCTCCAGTCTCAGTGATAGCTGCAATTAGGGCAGTGGCCTTTATCATGAAAGACCACGCTGTAGAGACTCGTGTGTCTCATGGTGTGATATGGCAGGTTTCACTAGGAAGTATACAGCACAAACTCGCAGCGTCATTCTGTGCGCTACCCACAGCTATCTCTATATGACGCGCAGCTTTCCCACGCAACGCGCGCCATGCGCGCACCATTCCCGCGCTTCGCGATGTATACGCGCGCGCGCGTTCCTGCGCTTGCGCGCCCTATGGCGCCAGCCATCCAGAAGCATCCATCCACTGTCCACCAAGCTCCCTAGTGCGTATATTTCCATTTCCTTTATTAGCATAGTTCCACCTTTATTTTTATCATGCATTCTCACTCATATATATATTTACATACCTACTCGGTAGCGCTTCGGCTCCGCTTGACCGCGCTTAGGCGCGCTATATAAGCGCCAGCAGTACATACTATTACTTACCTACTTTTCCTACTTTTCACTTACTAGTTACTACCCACTTACTACTTAGCAGAATATAGTAGAAAGCTATTCCTTTACATTTTGCACTCTTATATCTCTTATCTTGCTTTATATCACTACTTAAGCTTAGTTTCTCATTTCCGCATACGCGCGCGCACTTTCCCGCGCTTCGCGCTAATACGCGCGCGCGTTCCCGCGCCTTCGTACCTTGCGCGCACTTGCGCTTTCTCACGCTTCGCTGAAGCGCGTACCTCTAGATCTTCGCAGCACTCGCTTCCCCTAGGGTCGAACGCACTTGTCTCCTCAAGAATAGCAGACTAGGTAACGCGCGACCTCACAACATTTTATAGATACAGTTAGGAGCATCCTTGTTCCTCATTGTATTGTTGTTTCTACAACTGGAGCCCACCGCGAGGGGAGCAGTCAGCAAGATCTAGTTCCGCGCATTTCGCGCATACAGGTCAATATCTTTGCATTTCAAAAGCTAATCATTTCCTAGTCACGCATTCTCGCGCCTTGCGCGCGCGCAATATTCCCACGCCTGTGCACCTTGCGTGCACACCTTTCTCGCACTTCACACTATTTAACGCATAAAGGTCAATCTCTTTGCATATTCAAAAGCTAACCAATTTCTAGTCACGCATTCTCGCGCCTTGCGCGTGCGCTTTCCCACGCCTCTGCACCTCACGCGCGCACCTGTTATACGCCTCGCGCGCGCCTGCGCTTTTTCACGCTGCAATGCCTTATAGAATGCCCATCCGCGGCACAGCAAACGCGCCCAAGTTCGATGGCACTACAGACAACCTCACCGAGTTTATTGACACCTATGAGCAGCTCGCTGATGATGCAGGACTCCAAGGACTCAACCGCATCAAAGGTATTATTCGCTACCTTGAGCGCGATGATCGAGAACTATGGGGAGGCATGCCTGAAGCGGCAGTAGATGATTATGATGCATTCATGGCAGAAGTGAAGGTAATGTATCCTGGATGGGACGGTAAAAGGCGCTACGCGCTCGCAGACTTGCGCGCCATTGCGCGCGAATACGCTAACAAACCAATGCCCTCTTGCACAGAACTAAGCAGTTACCTGCGCGCATTCAAGAAGATTATGCAGCCACTTATGGATGAAGACCGCATTGGAAAGGCCGAACGCGACCGCCTATTCATGGAAGGAATCCCTAGCGACGCTCAGGCGCAAATTCACTTGCGCCTTATGATCAAGTTCCCAGACCACCATCCATACGACCCATACCCATTCATGGACGTCTTTGCAGCTGCACAGTTCCTACTATCTGGGCGCGCTTTTCCCGCGCCAAGCGCACCAGTAAGCGCACCAATTAGCGCGCCCACTATAGCGCCAAACACGCCAGTTAGCGCACCAGTGGCTAAGTGCCAAGATCGCTATCACGCGAGCCACGCAACCCAGGATACGACCACCAGTACTAATGCGACAGCAGGACTCTTCTATTGCGCACCCTCAGAAGTTGCACTTGACAAAAGGCCACCAGTTCCTATTCTTGCGCCTCGCGCGCGCGCCTTTCCCGCGCCTTCGCGCAATTCACACACACCTCCACCATCAACTATGCCAGCATGCAAAACTATACCAGACTGTATCACTCTAGATCACGAACTCGAGCGCGCGCTCGCGAAGCGCAACCAGACGCGCACTGCAGGCGCCTCTTCACCATCATCCTCATCAGCACCATCTCCTTCACAATCCGCATCATCATCACCATCAATCGCATCATTAGAAGTCAGGGATGACTCTAAACATCTATTGCACACTAACGCGCCATCGCTCGAATCGCGCGCGCCTATCGCTATCGCATTGCGCGCGCCTACCGCTATCGAATCACCAGTAGTCAGGGATGACTCTAATCATCTATTGCACACTAATGCACCGCTAGAAACACGCTCGCCCCTCGCTATCGCATCGCTTAAGGAAGAAACCTCGCCAATCGCACCATCACCATCACTGCTCGCATCATTAGAGGTCAGGGATGACCCTAAACATCTATTGCACCTTAGCGCGCCTATAGAGGAGCCTCCTACCACATCAGAGGCTCAAGTTGCACCTTGCATCAACCAGAGTTTGCCTCTGGTAACTCCAATTGTCACTAACGATTGCGCGCATGTCGCGCTTTTTGCTTCCAGTGACTATCGCGCACCGGTAAAACATCCGTGCATCACGCTGCACAACCACCAAGTAGAGCATGTCTCAGGCGACCCTGGCGCAACTCAGGCGCACCATATTGCGCCTGAGGACGCGCAATGCGCGCGCCTAGAGGCAGTGTATATTTACCCTCATCTTGTTTCGCGCTTTTTGTCCTTTTCATGTTTGAAGCTCTTAAGGAGCTATATGATGATTCCAAACACTTTAATTTCATCTTCTCACCACCCCTTGTTCACGCGCCATGATCACGCACATCGCGCAATATGCGCGCGCGTTCCCGCGCCTCGTGCACTCATAAATTTAGCAGAGTTTTCACGCTACCGCATTTCTATCGCTTCTCCCCTTCTAAACCGCATTTCTATCATTCAACACAAAGTATATTTCAATCAGCCATCCAGGCGCGACTTAGGCGTGCGCCTGACACATACATATGCGCCTAACTCCCCTATCATCATCTTTAACTTTGCACTTCCC